ACGGCGCTGTATGCTTCGCCTCCACTATGCATCCCTGCTAGCTTTCGCCACCTACCCTCGGCCTCAAGTTTTGTCGGGCAGGCTTCATTCGATAGACCAAAACAATCAGCTCACCTCACCTCACCTCACCTCACCTCACCTCACCTCACTTCACTTCACCACACTTCACTTCACCACACTTCACTTCATTCACCACACTTCACTTCACTGCATTTCACTTCACTTCACTTCATGTCAGTTCACTTTACTTCACTTCACTTCACCTCACCTCACCGCACCTCACCGCACCTCACTGCACCTCACCTCACTTCACCTCACTTCACCTCACTTCACCTCACTTCACCTCACTTCACTTCACCTCACTTCACCTCACTTCACCTTCACCTTCACCTTCACCTTCACCGTCGCCGTCGCCGTCGCCGTCGCCGTCGCCGTCGCCGTCACCGTCACCGTCACCGTCACCGTCACCGTCGCCGTCGGGTCGCGTCACTTAAGTGAGTCAGTCAATGAGCCTGCGCGGGAAGAAGGAAGGAATGGAGGGAGGGAGCGAGGGCGAGGGATTGAGTGAATGAGTGAGTGCGTCAGTCAGTTGAGTATGTGAGTGAGACAAGTGAGTGTTCAACCGGTTGAAGGTGAAAGTGGAAGTAAAGTGAGAGTATGTTTTGTGATGTTCTTCAGTAGTGATCTCTAGAAACATCTTCCACGTCGTCCTCCCTCAAGGTTGGGCTGAAACGCTCTGAGAAGTTCGTCTTGTCAGGCCTTTTTCCCGACGCGTTGCAATGGCAACTTCTGATTCTTTGGGTGGACATAAGGCGGAAAAGACAAAGGTGCACAAGACTGCGCCCCAAAGCGCAAGCGTCCAACACCATTGTATTGTTAGTTGCCTGTAGTTGGGAAAGACAAAGAGGGAGCTACAGGAAACATAAAGCAATACCGAGGCACATAGCAATTTTTAGCGACGCAAGCTATAGTGCTGATTCCGCTCACTTATCGAAACCTAGGTGACGATTTGCTAATAGAGAAACGTTGCCGCGTTGCCAAATTCTTTGCGCACAGAATGCTTTCCCTCAGCCTGCGTAGGTGTTGGTGCTAGCGCTGGTGCGGCCACAGCGGCTGCTGTTCGGCTTCTGCATCGAGTGAAGAGCCAAAAAGCTCCGCGGGTTATATATGTCAACTCATGAAGGTCTATAACATCGAAGTCTGAGCGAGTTGACCCTGGAACCTTTGAGCAACGCACTCGTTGAACAAGCTCTTCAGCTGTGGTGGACACCTATATGAGGCATTGCCTACGTCGCAACTACACTTTGGAATCTGCAGGAAACTACCCCCATAATCAATTGTTTCCAAAGGACGCGGGCTTTCTTTCTTTCTTTCTTTTCTTTCTTCCCCTCTTCTTCTTCTTCTTCCCCTTCTTCTTGTTCTTGTTCTTGTTCTTCTTCTTCTTCTTCTTATTCTCTTATTCTTCTTCTTCTCCTCCTTCTGCGCTTGCAACCTTTCGCGACATGATTGGAGCGTTTTTTCTTTATATATATATATACACTTATCACCCTTTGTCGTCAAATCGCAACTGGTCACAACAACATCACTTTCCCGTTGTCTTTTTCTTACTTTTCTTCCCCCAGTGGCGTTCTGTGGTTTGCGATTGGCGAAGTTTTCTCAGCATGTGCTGCGTGAGCTCGGTGAGGCTTGTTTGTATGCTCATATGGGAGAGGGCTTGTATGAACGTGAGTGACTGGTTGCTTTGGAAGATGCGTCTTTAGAAACGCCCGTCATGTGAGAACACGCGCGCGCACGCTGCAACAACAACGTTGCATGCAGTACCTGAGGCACGTCTTCTGTTTCTGCACGGCAAGAGTTTGTTTGCTCACGCGCAACGCGTTGCTTGTAATCTCGAAATTCAAACGTCCAAGGTCGGGGAATTTGGCTTGACTGAAGAGGACCGCTTATTTATGTATATAAAGCGTGGATTGGAAGTTGAAGCTGCTCGCTGCGCTCATAAGCTAGGGACTGGCTGCAAAACGGCGTTGCTGCCTGTCCCCTCAGACAACTTAATTGCATAGACGTTGTTCGAATACAGCTTTTACGGTTTAGCCCAGGTGCCGCAGCAACCATCAAAACTTTGCACCTCCCGGCGCAAGGTGTGGTTGTCAGTGGGGTCCTCAGCAAGCGCACGCCGCTGGCCTTTTGCTGCCTTGGTTCTCTCGACGGCCGTGGAAATAGACAGGCGCCGCCGCCCATCGCGTATTTGCAGTTCTACGAGGTGCAATTCTCTTTGTTCTTGGGGTGCAGCCTTGGACACGCGACGCAAGGACTCGTCGCGAAAGAGACGCGAGCCGGCAAAGGCGGGGCGGTTGATTGCGTTGGGCGATTTCGACGCAATGTTTTTCAATTATGTAATTTCTATTTCGCGCGAGGCGCCCAAGAAAGGAGGGCGCGTCCAAGCGCCGGCCTTGGATTGATTTGTGATTGAATTATTATTGCGCGGGAAGCGTTTGCTTGGCCAAGCAGGCGCGTTGCTGGACCATTTGGAGCTTTGAGGCCGTTTGTGGTTTCTATCTTTGATCTTCTGGTGCCGCTGTTCTGCTCACAGGTGCGCCCCGCCCAACTCTACAAGAAGTGCGTTGGCAGCCTTGAAACATATATAAATAGAAACGGGTTTATAGATGTGTGGGGCGCTGAACTTGGCTTTTGTGTGTGTGTGTGCGTGTGTGTGTGTGTAAGTCTTGGAATCATAGGGATCCTTTTGGATTTGTTCGGTTTGCCTTTTGCTTTTTTGCTTTTGTCAGAGCAGGGGGACCATCCATGTGTTGTGAGCGATGGTCCAACGAAGCGGCCGCAACACATGCGGCTATCTGGCCTGATCAGCCAGACGTACCTGCTTTCCTCGAACTTTTGAACTCTTGAACTTTGGTAAAGGGATAGTGAGTTCCGCAGACATGCGCGTTACGCCGTCACCCCGTCGGTCCGTTTTCGTCTTGAGCTTTTGGCCTTCTTTCCTCTTGAAGTCCTCCAGGTTCCCGTGGTTCGTGCACGTACTCTTAGGAAATGGAACCCTAGGCCGGCGTGTGGCACCGCTTTCAGTTCAGTACACCCTATCCTAAGTGTGTTTGGCCTTGCGCCAACCCGGGATTAGCCCGCAGAGTGCCAGCCGTGGACCCGTTGAACGGGTGTACGTCGCTATCTCCCCTGCCCGGAGATGTAAATGCCCAGAGCGGGCGAAGGTGGCCTAGGCCGAGAGAACTCCGATTTTGTTTCATTTTAGGAATTTCAAGCTGGCTTATGCCTTTACGTGACCGTAGCGGTCAAATCTGGCAGCCCCCTGGGCAAGCCGTACGT